ATTTGTTTAGCAAATAATTTTACATATTTTGTGTCTTGCCAAATTTGTTTTTATGAACTTTTTATTAAGTAAAAAAATTAAATTAATATTATATAAAAAATTTTTCTTTAAAATTTTTTAAAAAATTTTTTTTTATATAAGGCTATACAAACTTAATAAATTGGTTTTCATAACTCAGCTAGATTAAATTTTGCAAATTTTTTAAAAGTTTATAAAAATTTTTATATGCTTTTTTATATATAAAATTTTTTGCAAATAAAATTAAAAGCTAAGTTGTCAGATCATTTTTCAAAATTTTATGTTATGAGAACCAAAAAATTAATTTTGTATGGCTTAATATTAATTTAATTTTTTATTTAATACAAAGTTTATAAAAACAAATTTGGTGAAATATAACTATGTGCTAAATCAATTTACTTAAAACAGAATGTCTTAATAAAAAAAAGTTTTATATAGAAAACCCAAAAATTTTAACATTTGTATATAGTAAACTTTTTATTTTACTAAGATAATCAATCCTCACCTTCTAAGTCAAACTGTTCGGCGTAGAATTTTACATGTAATAATGACTTTACACTTAAAAAGATTTTTCTTTTTGTAAAATTCCGTCAAGGAAATATGCAATTTTTATGGAATTTTAAAAAAGTGTTCTAAATAACCTTAATCTACTATTTTCAATTTGTAAGTTGGAAATAATATAGTTTTTATTATAATTTATCACTCTATGTGACATATTTCCTGGCCTATAATCATACTTTGACGTTCCCTCCAAAATGTTTTTATAATTTGATTGACTTGCTAATTTTTCTGCCACTTCGTCAGCCAGCACACCTGGTAATTTTGGTTTCAGGCTTGGGCTTATTGTAAGTTTCAGAGTTTGAGGACTTTTTGAAGGATTAAGTGCTGATGGAGAACGAACAGCCTGATTTGTATGAACAATTTTTCTCCCAGACGAAGATGGTAAAATCATTGGTGACATTGTCACAGGATTCATTCTCGGAGATATTGGCGACACATTTGGTGATATTACCAACATGCGTTGCGGACCAGAAGTTGTGACCCTTGATCTTGGTGCTACAAATGTAGGTTGTTCTGCCTCATTATTGAAGGTTTGCTGATTCTGTATTTGCCCTTGTTGAGTGTTAACTGTTTGATTATCTTGTATAGAATTCATAGTAGGATTCGGCGTAGAAGACTGTTGCTTATTTAATTTCATAAGAGAAGATGGTGTTATTGGAACGATATTACCGTTAAAGGAAGAGGATGAATCATTTGAAAGATGTGCAGATGAAGGTTGTGTCTGCGTTACTTCAGACACAAGATTACTGCCAATATTCAAGTTTGGCATGGGTTCTTGCATGGCTATCGATGAAGTCAAAGACATGTTTACATTAGGCACTATAGATGGGGAACCCGTCATTATAGTTGGTAGTTTATTTACATTGTTCTTTGTGCTACTATTATTTTCGATACTGTTGTTATCAGGACTAGAATTATTTCCTGGTAATTGTATCACAGAATTATTCACACCTTCTGGCTTATTTAATGGTGAATAGTGCGGATTATTAGGCATTTGATTGTAAGTAGAACTTGATTTCTGATCGTGTTGCCTTGTCATAGGTTGATCGGGTTGTAGGATTGGTGAAATTAGAGGTGATGATAAATAACTATAAGGGTCTAAAAAAAACTGCAAATATTTTAAAAATGAGTAATGCTAAAATGGCCGAATGTAATTTAAAAAAAGTTTATCCAACTAACCTCATCTTCACGAAAAGTACCTTCTACAGAATTTGGTAACATAGAATAGGGAGACATAATCATTGATTCTGAGCAAGCATTATGGTCAGAACCACTAGGCGTAGGCAACATATTGCTTGATAATGTAAAATTTGGAATAGGTTGATAACCATCGGTTCCAGAAGTATTTTTACCACCGACATTTTGTTGTCTTGGAGTATCCATAAATATACCATTTAATTCATTATACTCGAACTGAAAGTTAATGTCATTAGAAATAGGGTTAACGTCATTTGTAGTAAAATTTTGGAACGTATCCATAATATATA